AACGGGCTCGTTAAATGTCTTCATCGACCCCTCAAGGGTGCTATCATGGTTCACGCTGATGTCAATTGGGTTGATGCTCTTCCACTTGTCCTCCTTGGCATTCGTTCTGCATTCAATCCAGATATTGGAGCTTCATCTGCCGAATTTGTGTTCGGGGAACCCTTGCGTCTACCAGGCGAGATGTTTTCATCCAGCGTCCCTAATTCCGAAGATATTCCAACTTTTCTTGTTGCAATTCGTGAGCACGTGGCTCGTCTCCGACCTGTACCAACTTCCGGACACTCGAAACCTGGTATATTTGTTTTCAAAGATCTCGAACACTGCACACACGTTCTGCTAAGTGAAGGGCCAGAACTACGATCTCTTCAACAACCATATAGAGGCCCTTACGAAGTTATTGAACGTAACGATAAAACAATGACTCTTAAAATCTGCAACAAGCCAATTACTGTTACAATTGACAGAGTGAAGCCTGCCTTTATCTTGAACGATCAAGAACCTCCACCGATAGCTACAGCTGATTCAACGTTACCAACAGTTTTTATATCGTCGCCGAAGCCTACATTTTCGCCTACACCGCCAGCATCAGAAAAAGTGGTTACCACACGATCTGGAAGAATAGTGCGATTTCCAGATCGTTTTCAACTCTGAACCTTCTCACTCCGCAGGGGGGTGGTCTGGCAAGCTTGACAAACCGAGTTCTACGTTCGAATGCGAATTCTTCGTTCGAAGCTAAAGTTGCCGCAGCATGATTGTTTTGTTACTATCGCATTAAAAAAAGTGTTTTATTATTTTTCTCAACAGTCGTTGTTTTGACAGCTCCGTATAAACCAATTATAATAAAAGCTAATTATCAACATCAGTCTCTATACATTAATTCTCCTCAAAATGAATGTAAATATTTAAGAATCGATTTTGGAAAAAAATACGCATCAGATTTTTTCCCAAGTCTGTCATCTCCGAAGCCCATTTTTTCAAACTATGATAAATTTTTTCTCGGGAATTTTTATTATTACTTTATTATGTTTTTTCATAAATTAATGATTACTTTGAAGAAAGAAGAAAGAAAGAATGGTGAATTTTTAAAAATAAGTACAAAGTTTTAAGAAAATATACATAATTTTAATTCTTGTATTACAGTATAGAAAAATATGAGAATGAAAGAAAATGACAAAAAATACCTTGAAAGTAAATATTATTCGTTAAATATTACGTTAAACGTTATGTAGTAGCGTAAGTAATCTAAATTAATTTTGTATGATTTTTAACAAAGGCTTCAAAGATTACACTTAATAATATTGGATTATTGGCTATGATAAATGAAATAAGAATTTATAATTTTGCGCAATTGAGATTACACTATGTTAAGTGTATTAGAAGCTATTTGTACCCAAAAACCGCCAAATATAACCGCCAAATTTTTCTGTTTTCAAAAAGTTTCAATAAAAATATACTGTGATGTTCGTATCACTTATAAATAAAATAATTCAAACTCTCGTAATCTAGCTAATGAGTAAGAATTTGTTTCCAATGATTTTACTCTAATTGTCAAGAAAATAGATAAATAAATCAAATGTAATAAATAAGTAAATCAAATATACATAAGTAAGTGCAATATTTCGAGGAAAGTCAGACAATGCCCTAGTTTCTTATGGTGCGAATTGTCCCATAAGCAGAGCTAAAGTCTTTCTTTGATAGGATATAATTCGGCCCAAGTTTCTTATAGCGCGAGATGTTCTATAAGTCGAGCTCAAAATATAAGGAAAGGATAGTCTTGCTTAGTTAATCACAATGAGAGAAAGAACTTAGGTATTAATCCAAGTTTATTCAGACTCATGCGTTCACCTTGCAAGGCTAGAAGTGAATGCTAGCCTATGCAAAGGTGGGCCTATTTATACACAGATTTTCCCGCTTATTTTTGCAGGAGAGATTTCATCGAAAATTCGAGAGACATTCGCGAATTTTGAGAAATGAGTTTTCTTAATTTACAAGTACTTTTAATACTATTAATAACCATTAATATTAAGTTTTTAACACATGTAAACTTTACAGAATTTGTTATTTGTTGATTTTATACAATATACAATTATCGCCAATAGTGTCGTCAAAAGTTATTAACTAATAAAGTTAATTAACGTGATATTACAATATTTACAATAGATAATTATTAAATTTTCATATAACTTTATAGTTGATTAATTTTGGAAGTATTTTCCAAAACTCATTATTTAAATTAATTAATAACATTTGAATTATGACTAATTTTTCATATTCGTAACGGTTTTTTCTAATCTTAATATGCAATTATTAGATTAATTATATAAGATTTCTAAATCATAAAGTTATCATTATCAAGTATAAACTTAATATTTTCGTTCTATAAATAGCTTATTGTTTAAATAAATTATTAATTGTTTATTTACTAATAACAGTTATTATTTAGCTGTTATTAATGAAACCAATTCTTACTCATGTTCTATGTTTATCCACTTTGCATATGAATTATTGATATTCATTATTATTTCATAATTGAATGAGATTTTTGTTATAATATTATTAATCTACATGCTAAAATCTATATAATCGATACTTTGTTATATTAAAATTATCTATAATTGACATATTTTTCTGTTCTGTCCGGAATGAACGTCGCAAGGCCAGTTTTGGCCAAATTTATTTTGACTCACTGCATAACAGGAAGTCGTGACGTCACTCGAAGAAAGTTTACACTGGTTTCACCTAAGGGTCAACGATTGTCCATTAACTTGTTTTCTGTTTTGCTCCCTGTATTTTGAATGAATTAACAACACTTTTGTTTTCTTCTTTTGTATTCTTAATTTTGCTACCTGTTACAACTTGCTTGGTGACGTCAGCAAACAGGCCACTACGTTCTCTGCAGGCTTTAAGGGGGTAGGCATTCCTTGGCGAGCATGATGGTGGAGTGGGAGACGGATTCGAGGCGCTCACTAGAGTTGATACGAGAGACAAGCGAGTTGGCGGGTCAGTTCTGTTCCTGCTCACCGGCGGATCGGTCATCTTCACTTCCGGCTCTCGCCAATACCTCCGTGCGGTCTCACGAGTTTATAAAACGTTATTTTATTTGATTATACAGTGCGGTGACTTATCTCTCCTTACTATGTAACCGTAAAGGTGAATAAAATAGTTATTTGGAACAACGGCGGTATTCCTCACATCAACGACCCTATCACCCCTCCATCAAACCGGCCCTTCTTAGCGAGCGTGATTTCCCTAGAAGAAGCAACTCGACTAAAATCATCTCGCGAACATTTTCTTAATATCATAAATCATTGTATCTATGTCTATTACTTTGTGACGTCACGCTGTTTATTTTGATTCGACTCTTATTTGTATACAGTCGCGTAAACAGTGAGGTAGCGCCGCTTAATGTATTGTTTTAAATAAACAGATAGATACGTTAGACTAGTTGCAGTCATTCAGTGATTTAATAAATAGCTCATATATAGGACCGTTACAATACCTTTTCATTAGAATGTCCTATATGAAATCTTATCCTTATAACCAGCAAGATTGTTAACCTGTTATGTTTCTCTTTCTCTCTATATTATCTAATAATTATCATTATCTTTTCTTTATGTAATCAATTGTTAATTACTTATGTATATATCATCTGTATCCAGACTCTGGCGCAAGGTAAGTGAGAGAAGAGAGGAGATTCGTATATGTAGCGATACGCGTGATATGTAAGAGCGTAACAAAGAAAAAGAGCGAGGAAGAGATATATATATATATATACACCGCGAACTTTTAACCGCGTGCGCTGATTGCTTAAAAACTGATGCACCGCCTGAAGAAAGAGCGAGGCCCGCGAAAGAGATTCTTCTTTGTTTTGTCCTACAAATGTGCACATATGTCCAATAAAAATTGATATAGAAAGAGTCGATTGATCTAATAACGTTAATTAGAATATCCAAGAGTGATAGAAAGCAACCACTGCGTCTACACTTATCGTATGGAAGTATGCTGGGAGCAACATTGATCAGCGAAATCGAGGGTTAAATGAAGTGTACAGAACAACAGTTATAACGTGCGTTTGTGTCGTGTGTATTCGCCTCCATGAAAACTATTACTAGGCATAAAAGCGTCTTGTATTCCTGGATCGTTTTTTAAACGTTTTTGCATCTGTATGTACTCGTTTGATTGTCTCTCTCTCTCTTTCTCTCTCGCACTGTTTGGCATATTCTCTCTCTCTCTCTCTCTCTCTCTCTCTCTCTCTCTCTCACACACACTTCACTTATGTTGCTCCTGCCTGATAATTCTGATTCATCTGATTAAACCAAAGCTCAATACAATTATATATTTATATATTTCGTAAGCTTATTCTTGTATATTATACTATATGTGCATACCGGCATATTTCTCGTTTTTCAGTCAACGCAGCGTAATCACATCGTTCCAGTCGTCTAGCAAAAGTCTCGAGCCTAATCTGCAGATCCATCCGTACATATTCCTACTTTATAATGCACATTTTATGTTAGCGTGGTGAAGTAGACAGAATCTCCGTTATATTTCAATGTTAATAATTTTACGTGTAAATTATTTTATCAGCACAGGCATTATAATAATATTATAGAAATAATAAATAATATAGGTTCATAATTTATAGATTTATGATTAAATAAAATTAAATTTGAAAAATTCATAGGTATCAAATATTAAAGAATTTATATTAAAGAATAATTTAAAGATTTGGATATGTTATTTAATACAGCAAGTAAATTCTACCTAAAAGTACAAGCAACATAATTCAGTTTTAATTTTATGATAACGTTCATATCTCCATTTGAATAGTATCTGATATTTTTGATAACTTTTTCACTACAATAAAAACTTTTCTTTATATCCCATAATTATAAGTGATGTGGTATACTGATATTTCCTTGCAATTTATGGCATAGTACTCATTTATTTATACGTTTGTAAAATTCTTTACTCATACATAAAGGATGTATTTCTTTCAGGTCTGTAACAGATCCAAGAGATGGAAAAAGAGTAGCTTTGAAAAAATTGCCAAACGTTTTTCAAAGTTTAATTAGCAGTAAAAGAGTTTTTAGAGAACTGAAAATGTTATGTTTCTTCAAACATGAGAATGTAAGATCAATTTTCAATACTTTAATTTAAATATATTATTAATCTCTACTCACCAATAAAATATAATTATTAAATATTCTTGATATTTCACTGGTTATATTTAAATGTATAAAATACCTAATACAACTATAAATGAAATCCCAATAATGGTATAATTATTTTGTCACTTGTGATGGTAAATTAATAGTTTTGTGTTAATTTGAATTTAATAATAATATATCTTCTGAAAAAAAACATATAAATAATGAAAACGACAATATAAGACGTAAGACGTAAAGATATTCATTTAGTTAGTGAACACCTGTGACCTAATTCTACTACTCAAATACGAGGGTCGTTTGAAAAGTCCATGCAAAGTCAGAGAAATGGCGCTACTAGTGCGTATCAAGGTTATTTTTAGTTAGTGGCATATCTTCGTAGAGCACACACCAAGTTTCAGCCAGATCGGCCAATTACTTTGCATTTTGCATTCGTCTCAATCAAAGAATTCGAGTGGTTGTAAAAAAATGGACGAAAAAGAATTTCGTGTACTGATTAAACATTACTTTTTCAAAGGCACAACGCCTCAGGAGATTAAACATGAGCTTGATAAACATTATGGTGATTGTGCACCTTCGATTAGAATGGTTTATAAGTGGTTTCAAAATTTTCGGAGTGACCATATGAGCACAAAAGACGCTGAATGTTCTGGACGCCCTGTTGAGGTTACCACTTCAGAAATCATTGATAAAATCCATGATATAGTGATGGCTAACAGAAGAGTGAAGGTGCGTGAGATTGCTAGTACTGTAGGCATCACGAGCGAACGGGTACATAATATTTTGCACCAACATTTGGACATGAAAAAGCTATTCACTAGATGGGTGCCGCGATTTTGCTCACGATTGACCAAAAACGAGATCGTGTGAAGTGTTGCAAGAATGGTTTGCAGCTGTTCCAGAAAAATCCACAAGACTTTAAGCGTCGTTTCATCACTGTAGATGAAACATAAATACATCACTACACTTCTGAGACCAAAGAATAATCTAAACAATGGGTTACCAAAGGGGAATCTGCTCCGAAAAAGGCTAAGACAATTCCTTCGGCCGGGAAGGTTATGGCGACTGTCTTTTGGGATTCGCAAGGAATAATCTTCATCGACTATCTGGAAAAGGGTAAAACCATTACAGGCGAATATTATTCATCGTTATTGGATCGTTTGAAGACCGAGTTGCTAGAGAAACGTTCACGATTGGCCCACAAAAAAGTCCTCTTCCACTACGACAATGCGCCAGCTCACGCCTCAGCAGTTGTGGCCGCAAAACTGATGGAGATAGGGTTCCAACTCGTTTCACATCTCCCTATTCTCCAGACTTGGCTCGATCGGACTACTATTTGTTCCCTAATATGAAAAAATGGCTGGCGGGGAAAAGATTTTATTCAAACGAGGAGGTGATTACAGAAACGAATGCCTATGTTACAGACTTGAACAAATGTTATTATTTGGAAGGGATTAACAAACTAGAGCAGCGTTGGATGAAGTGTATAAGCCTAAAAGGAGATTATGTTGAAAAATAAAAAAGATTTATTAAAAAAAATCAAGCAGTTTTTATTTTTGCACGGACTTTTCATACGACCCTTGTAATATAAATATTTCAGAAATATCTCTTGTAGACTGAAGTTATAATCCTTCATGAACGCTTTCTTTCTTAACTGTAGTATTCTGAAGAACAAATATAAGAAGATTTTTGTGACTTATATACTATACAGTTAGATTTTTATTAAAAATAATACTTCGATAGGTTTAATTTCGATTCTTCGATGCTTAGACTTATTGTATAATGAAACTAGATCAAGTATTACAGCCAACCATTTATAATTACGATTTAGCGAGAACTGTTTCTATATCTTACTTTTCAAAATTCTATTGAATTGTTCACATATTGATGCTTTTAATTTAGTGTATGTAGAATATATATAAATTTTATATTTGGTCATTAAACTTTCAAAACCTTTATTATAAAATTTACAACCTCTGTCAAGACAAATCTTCTTCGGTACTCGTTCTTTCACAAATATAGATCCCATAGCCTTTGTAACGTCTTTACCAATTTCCTGTTTAACTGCAACGTACCCAGCGTACTTCCATATGGTATCATTTCAGCAAGATCAGTTTGCCATGTTTCATCCATTCGAGGGTGGATTGATATGTTTTCGGCCTGACCAAGAAAAACAACGTTATATTATAATACAAACATCAAAAACATATCAAATCCCTTTCTATATCTTTCAGCATCTATTTTTCGATCTTTGTCTGAAACAAAAAACAGTACTCATCTTTTCAACAAGAGAATAGATGATTTTATAATGTAGTGTCTTATTTCGAAAAGCATCTAGAGATGTTAGAGAAATCTTTTATATAAATTTAGAAATAAATTAGAAAAAATATGAATTTTGCTGTCTCTTAGTTCGGTAGAATTAACCTCACTGAGGAATATTTAACCCTCGATAAAGAGAGAGTAACCTATATTTGTTTATCCGACACCTCGAAATATTTAGGAGCTACGTAGACTAATAGGTATGACCCGTAGTATCGCCGGTTTATTAAGAATTTCTATGACAACATCGAATTACTTCTAAGACTTACAAAGAGTAATGTCCGATTTTTCTGGGGACCAAATTAAGACGCAGTTCTCGTACTGATACGATAACCTCTTACGTTACCACCTATTCTAGCTTTTCTTATCTTTTTGTATCAAATGTAATGCTTTTATTACAGGCCTTGGAGTGGTGTTAATACAAACTTTCGAGAACGTTGATAAAGTAATAGCTTTTACCTCGCAAGCTCTAACTGCTCCAGTGTATAATTATTTGTTAACGGAGTGTGAGTTCCTCGCAATTTTATGTAGCATAAACAAATTTAGATATTATGTTGAAGGCGCCAAATTTAACCTCTTTATAGACCATAAATTTCTAAAATGATTACAAAGCCTCAAAAATCGCAAAGATCACCTTGCTCGATGGGCCATGGAATAAGCTTAGTACGACATGGTAATTATACACCGCACAGCTGCACTCAACCATTTAATAGCCTTTTGATTTCGTCCAAGAACATTGATCTTTTTTTTTGGTAATACCTTCAAAGATATTATAAGTGGATCGGAATTGAAAAAAAGTCTCTCATACATATCTTTAGTTGTTTCGATTCTAAAATAATTATTATTTCAATTGTCAATCTTCTAATCATTTATATACTGATTGATTTTGCATTTAGTGAATAATAAAGATTAGTTTTTTACACATAATAATAATAATAGTAATAATAATATGTAACGGGGTATATTAGCTAGTTCAATAAGAATTTATTAAAGTACTAATTTCCACGGTGAAGAGCTAACCGTCACTTCGTTAAACACCTATGGGTATACGTGTATTCGCCTTTACATTTCATATTTTCATTTCAGTGTCTTCTTTCCAACAGAGTTGAACTCACCTTAAATCACCTGACTTGCGACACTCGATCTATATTAGATGTAAGTGACCTAATGCGAATCCACCTAATCCCCTAGATGAAATCGGTTTGAAATTTAATCCATAATAGATCCGTTATATTAATAGGAAACGAAAATGACGTATGCGGTGAATAAGATTAATAATCTTTAATTCAAATTAACTACAGCCTTTTATGGGCCGAAAGACTAATGCATGCGAATAGGAGGTGCACCTACCCTGCGGTGCAATTACGGGGATCAGCCGTAATTGTTGAAGCAAATCTTTTTTGCCAACAATTTCCTCCTTAGTAAGGCTGCGCCGGTTCACCTCGCTATCAATCTACTGTTGATTTGCTGCTACTTCGCTGCTGCTACTGTGATTCTGCTTCCTCGCTATCACTCACGCACGTCCAAAAATCGTAGGAAAAGTTTTATTATGGAAAACAGCGAAACACTGTGCAAAACTAAATTGGCGGTACTCTCTCAAGTAACAGCTGAGGCTATACTGAAACTTTTTAAACTCTCGCGCGCCTTCTCTCTCTCTCTCTCTCTCTCTCTCTTAGTCGTTCGTTCTAGCATCGCGAGTGTACTGAATCGCGAATGGATCGATTAATCGAATCGACTACTGTTACAAATAATACACATTTGAATACTGAATATGCTAAAGTATATTAACAATCTCATTTAAAAGCAAATTTTTCATTCAAAGTAATTTTTATGTTGCTAATTATCTTATGTTGCTAATTATCTTATGTTGCTTTTTGACAAAGAAATTTTAATAAATACCTACAGCATGTTTTTATAAATTTTTCTCTACATTTTTTAACATTCTTATTATTACTTTCTCAAGCTTCTTCTGAGAAATATCCAATCGATAGAATAAGTCTATCTATAATTTTCCAACCGTGTAATAAGATAACATGTACAGATGGAGACATTTAGTATAACTTGTATTTATTAAATAACTTTAATTTATTATTTATTTATTTTTAACTTTTATTTATTTATTTAACATACATTTTTGCTGTATTTTCACAAGATTTAAAATTCCTTTGTATATATTTCATATCCAGACGATATTATTACAAGCATAACATGGAGCCTTTGAAGTAGATCTTCATTGAGTCCTACAACATCAAATGTTTTATAGATTCAAATAAAATATAATGATATCCACAATTCAAAATTTACCAATTGTAATTATCAGTTATATTGGAAACTATCTTAAAGTTGTTAAAAAATTTTCTAGCGGTGTTACCATCGTTTGTATTACCAGAACCTTGTAAAAAAATATCAACTAATATACCCAGGTCGTCTCAAAGACCATATTGAATTAGTTTTTTCCGTTACTTAACTTCTTCTACATCCCTTTTAGAAATCTATAAAAATGACTAATACTAGTGATATACTTTGTGATACGACATTTTACAAAAGTGCTTCGTAACGTTCTACGATATAAAATAACAGTTCACGTTCAAATATTCCAAATTAATTTATGCAAACAGTTGAATATATACTCTGAACTGTTTT